AGTGCGTTTCAAAGCCCCCTCACAGCCACATTTACATACATTTACTGCATTTTATGCGGTCCCTCTCCGCCCGGTATGTATTCTTCACCCGCGTAACTTGAATGCTTTACCGATTTGAATTCATTTGAAAGCATTTTTTCAATTCCTACCGCTTCTAGTATTAAAAAATTAGTAGATTCTGTATGACTGTGAAAAACTCAAGGTTAATCCGGCCAGTCCTGCACTCACTTTCTGTCGAATATAATAAGTGGAAAAATTCTTTTCCCTAGCTGCGCGCGACTTTTCAGCTTGTGTGAGCTGGGGGATATAAAGTAGAATCGCGACTTGTGCGATATCGCCTTTTCTCGTGAATTCAACTTGGAATTCCCTCGTCAGCCAATGAATTTTTCTATAGAATAGGTTCAGACGTGCCGTGTCGTGAATTCTTAAAGGTGTGTAGACGATATTCTAGCGTAATGAGGATCTTAAGATTCCACAATGGACCGCCCGCAAAGAAAAGAAAATAGCAAAATATTACGGTTGTCCATATCATATAAGTCCTTTCTCCTATCGATATCCTGCTAATCAATATCACAGCTCGGCTAAATTAGAGATCGCATAGAATACTAGCATGTTTGCTCTCGTGTCAAAACCAAGACACTGGCGCAAACGATTTGACAATTTGAGTATTCCTTCTATAGTAACCCTTAACCTGATTTATACGTACTTTGGAGTATCTATTACCTAATTTAGGAGTATCCCTTAAGTTGATTTTGGTTAGTGAGCATCCCTTAACCTAATTAGTGAGTATCCCTTAACTTGATTTACGAGTATCCCCCTATCCGCTTTTCGGAGTATTCCTTCTATAATATCCCTTAACATGATTTATACGTACTTTGGAGCTATTACCTAATTTAGGCTAGGAGTATCCCTTAACCTAATAAGTGAGTATCCCTTAACTTGATTTAGAAGTATCTCTTAACCTGATCTAGGAGTATCCCTCAACCTGATATAAGAGAATCATACGCATACTTCATACGTCCCATCTTAGGCGTGGAGGAGGAGGCTTGGCGATTGACTTGGGCATAATATGATTTACAAAACTATACTTACTATCGCTTCGTTAAGGTCGATAAAATCACTAACGAAAATGATAGTTTAATCTACAAATGAATCTTAGCTTTCTTTTAAATTAATAAGATTGCTATCACTGAGAAACTTGCTATTCATTGCCATAGAGATGCATGCATAGTTTRCGTTTTACTCCCGACTTATCATGTTCAGTTCAGAAATTGTTCAGTCAATCAAGAACAAGCACCAAAAAACTAAATTTGACTTTTTGTTTTAGTGACACACATATTTTACGAAATGCAAACGTCTTTTTAAGCTTGAGCATCGATTTAACTTCAGGCACTGATAAATGTCTATATATCGAGATGAAACGTCTTGTTAAACTTGTTGTTGTCGCTTCGTCCATAATGACTGCATCGGTTAGAAATCTATCCTCATTAGCCTCAGTTTCGTGTACGATTGCTTCATGATACAACCAACTGAAAGGATAAGGAATAACAGACTTGGCCTGTGATGAAATAGCGTGCTTTGAGGAAATGGCTATATGCCGGGCGTAGAGTGCATTTCACAGCCCCCTCACAGCCACATTTACATACATTTACTGTATTTTATGCGGTCCCTCTCCGCCCGGTATGTAWTCTTCACCCGCGTACCTTGAATGCTTCAAATTCAAAGCCGTTTCGAAGAATTTCTACAGCTTCTAGTATTTAAAAAAATCATTAAAAGTAGATTCTGTATGACTGTGAAACCAGTTACAGACTAATCCAGYCCTGGACTCACTTTCTGTCCGTTAAAATAAGTTGAAAATTAGAAGTATCCCTTACGACCATTAGCCTGCATGTTGGAGTATCCTTTCACCTGATTTTGAAGTATCCCTAAACCTCATTTTTGAGTATCCTTTTACCTGATATTGAAGTATCCTTAACCTGATTTAAGAGTACCCATTCACATGATTTAGGAGTATCCATTCACCTGATTTAAGAGTATCCATTCACCTGATTTAAGAGTATCCATTCACCTGATTTAAGAGTATCCTTGACCTGATTTAAGAGTATCCATTCACCTGATTTAAGAGTATCTCTCACCTGATTTAAGAGTATCCTTTTACCTAATTTAGAAGTATACTTGACCTTTAGGAGTATCCCTTAACCTTATTTAGGAGCATCCCTTAACCTGATTTAGGAGTATCCCTTCAACTGATTTAGGAGTATCCCTTCAACTGATTTAGGAGCATCCCTTGACCTGATTTAGGAGCATCCCTTGACCTGATTTAGGAGTATCCCTTAACCTGATTTAGGAGTATCCCTTACCCTGATTTAGGAGTATCCCTTCACCTGATTTAGGAGTATCCCTTAACCTGATTTAGGAGTATCCCTTAACCTGATTTAGGAGTATCCCTTCACCTGATTTAGGAGTATCCCTTCACCTGATTTAGGAGTATCCCTTCACCTGATTTAGAAGTATCCCTTAACCTGATTTAGAAGTATCCCTTAACCTGATTTAGAAGTATCCCTTAACCTGATTTAGGAGTATCCCTTAACCTGATTTAGGAGTATCCTTTAACCTGATTTAAAAGTAACCTTTTACCTGATTTAGGAGTATCCTTAACCTGATTTAGGAGTATCCATTCACCTTATTTAGGAGTATCCATTCACCTTATTTAGGAGTATCTCTTAACCTAATTTAGAAGTGTACTTGACTTGATTTACGAGTGATTTTGGAGCATCCCTTAACCTGATTTTAAAGATCCCTTACATGAACCGTATACCTTTGAAGTGAACGGCATTTGATCCTGAGATCAGCATTACTTTTGACTTTAAATTGCGCAATAATCGTTCAGTTTCATAGAGATCGAGATAACGCATACTTACGCCTTCAGTGGCTATTTTAGTCGCGTCAGTTGCGTGAAGATGCGTCTCATAAGAAGAGTAGAGAGGGAGGAATAGGGATGGGCGTACCCATGATGCTTTTTACAGTGAATCAGCTTTATACTGTACTGTCAGCGACTTCGTTAGGGCCGATAAAATAACGAACGAAAATAATAA